GTAGGGAAAAACCGACTTCAATGCTGCCATGCATAAGCAGCAATCTATGATCTTAGTGGATATCCAAACTCCAGGTGTACACATAAAGAGACCACTTACAGTTTTTGGCTTTGATGATGCACCTCATGGGCATGCAGAAGTACTATTTGAGAATGTATGTGTCCCAGCAAAGAATATTCTACTAGGAGAAGGACGTGGGTTTGAGATTGCACAGGTATTGTTCACTGCTTTCTGAGTAACATATTGCAATTTTGATATCCGTTGAGTACTATATTCTCAACCTCACCAAATGATATTTGAAATTTCTAACCTTAAAAATTCAAGCTTTCTGAGGTAAATCAACAATTTGATTTGGCAACTTGCATGATTAAGGACTTTGATCATCTCCAATGTCCTGTTAGAAGCTTGTAGTATGTGTGTATCACCGCAGGCTGGCCTATAACGCAAAATGAAATATCTTCATTTCTGAGATTTCTTTCTGCAAATTAAGAGATGATTCTTATTTTTTTGAGGACTTAATTAGTTTTTTTTACTTGGTCGAAAGGACTTAATTAGTTTGTTGGTGAGCTCTTGTTGGTTTTGTGACTGGACATATCCTAGGTTCACTGTGCAGTTATCCTCAGTTTGCTTTAGTTATTAAAGCAAACTTAATTTCTGCAGGGTAGACTAGGCCCAGGAAGGTTGCACCATTGCATGAGACTGATGGGAGCTGCTGAGCGTGGCATGCAGATAATGGCTCAAAGGGCTCTTAGTAGAAAAGTTTTCGGGAAGTTGATTGCTGAACAGGGCTCATTTCGTTCAGATATTGCGAAGGTATGATAATTTTACACCCTTCAAAAGCATAATTGAGAAACTTATGTTTCTATAAATTTATAAACAGAGACTGATTATGCAACCCAGATGATTAAGAACTCCAGGCTTTCCAGCTGTTCAAATGATTTAAGAAGTGATCTGAGTTGAATCTTCCTTGCATATCTTCAGATTCATCTCTTACTGCAATAATGTTGGACTCTTTTCTAAATCGGCTTTTTGTGTTGCAGTGTCGAATAGAGCTAGAGAAAACCAGATTGTTGGTTCTGGAGGCAGCTGATCAACTTGATAGACTTGGAAACAAAAAGGCCCGAGGAACTTTAGCAATGGCAAAGGTAGCAGCCCCAAACATGGCGCTGATGGTACTTGACATGGCAATGCAAGTGCATGGCGCTGCTGGCTTGTCGTCCGACACTTGTCTGGCTCATCTTTGGGCCACGGCAAGAACACTGAGAATAGCAGATGGTCCAGATGAAGTCCATTTGGGTACTATTGCCAAGTTAGAACTTCAGAGAGCTAAACTCTGAAACTCTCAGGACAAAACTCCCACAAAACAAACGAGATCCTTTTTTCCCCTATAGGCAAATACTGCATCAAAACTTACAGTTGATATATAGGATCAATAATGTTGTGACCAATAATGTTACTTTTTTAAAATTTCTAGGATCAATAATCTCATTGATGTCAAAATAAATTTTATGTATAAGGAAAAACAGTTCAGAGGAGAAGTCTGCAGCCGATCTATTAATGTACCCTCCATGTTTCTCTCTTAGATCTTTATAGAAATATCAATCTCATTTTGTTTTATTTGGAATATTTATCCCACTCATTTCTCTTTACACAGTGATATCCAATGTCGTTATGAACTTAAAGAAATTGGAAGGAAATCAGGAATATCCACTGAATATTATACCGAAATAATCTACAATATTCAGATTTTTTTGGTTGTTGGCATGATACAATATTCAGATGTTACATCAACAAAATTCTCTACAATTATAATTGTAGGTTTTCCGCGACGTTGAGTATGTACTTGTAAATGTCCCCAAAATCGGGTATGCACTTGTAAATGACCTATAGATTGGGGGGTTTATTGTAGTTTACCCAAAAAATATTATCTACTAAAATTAGGCAAGTTAATCAAAATCTCGATTATACCTGTTTTTTTTTTCTTTTTATAAAAATGATAGTATTTTATTGATAAGAGTAACAAAAACAAGTACAAAGCCACTATAGTGCCAAATATAGATAATCCCGATTATCACAATAAATAATGCTATTTAGACACACAAGATAGCATACACACATGTAACATGATTCAGTATAATATCCCAATTACTTTGACCCAAAAAAAAAATATATATATCCCAATTATCTTGTCCGACGATTCAACCGAA